ATGGTATTAGAGTCATGCCCTAAACTTAGTCATGCCAATAGAATCATCAAATGGCGAACAAAGGACTCCAAAAGAAAAGGTCGAAGACATAGTAAAAAATAACTAAGACTCCAAAAGAAAAAGGAGTCGAGTCTCGATTAAGGGGAGGTGTACTTTGTTCAAGGGGAGGTGTTAGATGAAAGTCTCACGCTAATCTAGGGAATTATCATGGGTTTATAATCAAATAATACCATCTCCACGGGCATGAGGCCTTTTGGGGAAGCCCAAAGCAAAGCCATGAGAGTTTATGCTCAAAGTGGACAATATCATACCATTGTGTAGAGTCGTGCTCATCTAACAAATTCAACTCAATCTAATTCGAGAGTGTTAAGGATATTTAGTAATAAATTATAGTTTACCATATATATTATATTTAATATTTTATTATAAGACAAATATTTAATATTTGTCTTATTACCATATTTATCTTTCCATTTATTACTATTTCCATATCGTTAGTAATTTATTTAATTATAAATAAGATAACTTTCATATACCTGTTGGATTAATCATACATTCTTAGAGAGAAACTCATAAATTAATCTCATTCATACCGTTTTCAGTTCTTTGAACTCAACCCAACCCACGTAACTTTATAACCCTGAGTTAGGTTGAATGGGTTTCTAATGGGTTTTTCGAGTTACGTATGTTTTTTGAACACCGGACATGGTTGACGTAGTCCAACGATTCTTTTCCACTACTAGTGAATCCTTTTTTTGTCCTTAAATATTATTCCAAGCCTACAATATCAATGTTAAACTTTAGTTCGAATCATTGTAAATGATTTGGTTGAGTTCAAAAGTGAATTTGTGTGTGACCCACAAACAAAAGCAAAAACATTTAACATCAACTCAAGCTTAAGATGTTGTATAGCTAATGTTCTTAATTGCATACATCTTAATGTTCTTATAAATAGCTCGTAAAAGGATATTATCATGCATGCATGCCACCACCAACAATATAATAATCCTCTTTATTACTTCGTATTTTGATTCTTTCTTTCCATTTGTACGTAAAAAGACGTCTCTTTGTTTTGGTTTGTGCATCAAAATACACACAAAGCCAAAGTAAAAGATGAGTGTCGTAGTATAAAGCAACAAGGGTTCCCTCCTTCTCATGTTTGAAGCCATTTATTCTCTCTCTCTCCTCTCTCTCTCTCTCCTCACTCTCTCTCTCTCTCTCTCAACATCCCAAAATCAAAATCCTGTCATGTAGTGATTTCTCTCAAAGATTGCCCATGTTGTTCAAGCTTTAAGAGCATACTATTGTCTAGAGAGAGAGGAAATGAGTTCTTATTCTCCTTCTTGTAAGGCCATGGCTGTTATGGGGTTTATTTGGCTTTTGTTAGTGAATGGTTCCCATCAACGGGGACAATCGGTGGCAACCGGGATGACGACGACAACGACGGCAGCTCAATTCGGTGGAATTTCTAAAGAGATGGAGGTGGTCGGTGGTCGTGGTGGCAAGGACGTTGTTCGTTCAGAATGGCATCTCAACTACATGAGTAAAAGAAGAGTTCCTAATGGCCCTGATCCTATTCATAACAGGTACTACGTTGTTTGAATTTTTAATAAAATTATATGTCTTAATCAATTGAGCTACTTTAATTCAGCTCGTAAAACATGACATGGGTGTTGTATGTCGTGTTTTTCTATTTAAATTGGATAGATTTAGAGAGAGAAAGAGAGGGAGAGATAAAAAGTTTAAATTTTTCTCACTTTGCCTTTTAAAACTGTTACATTGAGTTCTTTTAGCTTAAAGGGTGTCATTTAAAGTCCTTGGTTGAAGGTGACACAAACATCTTTAAAACCACAGTAAATAAAAGGTGTATATGTGTGTACTTCAATATATTCCATGCCTTTTACTTAATCAATATCTCTTTATCCATTACTAATACTCGTTCTTAAGTTTTGAGTATCCGTTCAATAGTCGATGATTCAGCTCCGTTCTACAATCGTTAACCTACTAAACGTCTCGAAAATCGAAAAACGACTCAAGACTTGAACTTTTTTTTGGTTTTTCGTTTTGTAGGAGAGCAGGAAACTCTGGAAGACCACCCGGCAAGGCTTAACCTCGGGAATGAAACTGGGCTTTCAAGATGACACAAGATTGCACCATCAGCTATCTTGTATGTGTTACTTTAGGAATGAATGATGAAAACCTATCAAATCAATTCTCGGTTAGAATTTAGGACTCGTTCGATAATATTTTTGTTTTTTATTTTTAAATTTTAAAGTTTATGTGTATTTATTACCAGGCGTGTTTATCTAGTTCGAACCCGCACAAAATTTAAAATTTTAATAAATGCTTTTAAAAAATAGTTAAAAACCACTTTTGAATAATTTTTTTATTGAACATCACAAACTAATTTTATAAAGATAATTATAAAAAGAAAAGAAAAAGATTTGATTGGTTGTTTGATCACCAAATTAGGTTTATGTAATTAAAATAAAAATAATAATTAAGGGATGTTTGTTTTATACTTTAATTAAAAGGTGGGAGAAGGGTTCCCTAAGCTTAATAAAGTGAATTCCACCCATTAAAGGTAAAAGGAAAAGAAAAGAAAAGAAAAGAAAAGAAAAGAAAGGGGAACAAAAATTAAAGGTGGCCTTTGCATTTTGTGTTTTGCTTTGAGATTCTCTTTAGTTTCCATGGCAATATTGTAAATTATCTCAAATATGTGACCAAATATTTACTAGTTTTTGTCTTTCAATTTAGGTTAAAACGGACCTACTTTCGATTCAATAATCGTTTCATATTCATTGGATTGATGGTATTACTTTATTTTTCTTTTGGTTCGAGAATTAGAGAGTTTAACTGTAACTGCGCAAGTCCACCGCTAATAGAAATTGTCCTCTTTGGGTTTTCCATTTCGGGACAGTTTTTTTGAATTTAGGTTAAAACATATCAACTCAACATACTTTCAATTGGGTTTCGTTTCATTTGCATAACAAAAAGCATTTCGTATTCATCGGATTGACGGTATTACCTCATTTTTCTTTTGGTTCGAGAATTAGAGAGTTTAATTGGAGCAACACAAGCTCACCCCTAGCAGATATTGTCCTCTTTGGTTTTCCATTTCGGGACAGTTTTTTTGAATTTAGGCTAAAACATATCATCTCGACATACTTTCAGTTAGATTTCGTTTCATTTGCATAACAAAAAGAGTTCCATATTCATTGGATTGACGGTATTACCTCATTTTTTTTTCATTCGAGAATTAGAGAGTTTAACTGTAACCACGTAAATTCACCGCTAACAGATATTGTCCTCTTTGGGTTTTTCCTTCTGGGGTTCCCCTCAAAATTTTTAAAACGTGTCTACTAAGGAGAGGTTTCCACACCCTTACAAAGAATGTTTCGTTCCCCTCTCCAACCAATGTGGGATCTCACAGTAACTACGTTTAGGTTAGGGTATTAGCTGAATTATTATGGATTTAGAACAGTGTCATAAGAAATAGATGTTGAATGAGGAGTAAGAACATGTAAGAAACGACGATTAGTGAAGTTTAATGGAATCATAAGAAGCGACGATATTTGATTATCGTGCATACTATGGGGTCGATTATTGATGTATCGGGTTTTAATTAAATTTGTATAAATATACGATGGGAGTGTCCTTAAGTTATAAGCTTTTTGAGAGTGGTAATGGGTTTCTTTTGTTTGGTGTGGCTTTTGTTGTTTGAGTTTTGATTGGATAGAGTGGTCTAAAAGCAAGATATGCATTCAAATATCTGCAAGCCATTTACTATAAAGGGAAAAAAGAAAAAGGCTAAGCTTTTATCTTTGGTTTCATCAAATCTCACACATATATATTTGTTTCATCGGAATCCTAAATTTTTATGGGACACATTTTTATATTCATTTTCTACCAATGCTCGAGTTTTGGATAACCTCTACAAACGTCAATTTTTAAAATTATGTTTTTACTTTTGAGTGTTGATTCGAGTTTAAAGCGTTAATTTGAAATCTTACCTTGTCTGGGTGGTGTCTTTGGTTATCACTCTAGTCTCACACATTAGAGGTCCCTAGCCCAAACGTGGGCTCAAATGTTTTCTAACCTTATGTTTTTACTTTTTCCTTAACAACATTTTCACTTTTAGAAGATTCGTGAAATATGAGTTCAAAACGTTGATTTGAAATCTCACCTTGTTTGGGTGGTGTAGTTGGTTATCACGCTAGTCTCACACACTAGAGGTTCCCATTCAAACCTGGGGCTCAGACATTTTTTGCATTATTTTCACTTTTAGAAGATTTGCGAAATATGAGTGTTGATTCGAGTTCAAAACGTTCATTTGGAATCTCATCTTGTCTGGGTGGTGTAGTTGGTTATCATGCTAGTTTCACACACAGGTCCCATCTTGTCTGGGTGGTGTAGCTAGTTATCATGCTAGTTTCACACAGAGGTCCCCAGAGCCCAGACATTTTTAGCACACACCGAGGTCCCATCTTGTCTGGGTGGTGTAGTTAGTTATCATGCTAGTTTCACACAGAGGTCCCCAGAGCCCAGACATTTTTAGCACACACCGAGGTCCCATCTTGTCTGGGTGGTGTAGTTAGTTATCATGCTAGTTTCACACAGAGGTCCCCAGAGCCCAGACATTTTTAGCACACACCGAGGTCCCATCTTGTCTGGGTGGTGTAGTTAGTTATCATGCTAGTTTCACACAGAGGTCCCCAGAGCCCAGACATTTTTAGCACACACCGAGGTCCCATCTTGTCTGGGTGGTGTAGTTAGTTATCATGCTAGTTTCACACAGAGGTCCCCAGAGCCCAGACATTTTTAGCATTATCAACATTTTCACTTCTAGAAGTTTCGCGAAATATGAGTGTTAGATTCGAGTTCAAAGCATTAATTTGGAATCCCATCTTGTCTGGGTGGTGTAGTTGGTTAAGTTGGTTATCACGCTAGTCTCACACACTAGAGGTTCCCAGCCCAAACCTGGGCTCAGACCCTATCTTGTCTCGGTGGTGTAGTTGGTTATCACTCTAGTCTCACATACTAGAGGGTCCCCAATTCAAACCTGGGCCTAGACATATTTAGCATTATGTTTTTAAGGCGTTAATTTGGAATCTCATCTTGTCTGTGGTGTAGTTGGTTCACACACTAGAGATTCTTAATCTCCGAACTTCCCTCTATGTCAAAAATAATAGTGTAGGATAAGCATGAATTAAATACCATTAATATGTATCCACGTCTCACTAGAACTCATTATGTGATAAGTATGAAAATATTATGAGCATCATTTCACTAAACTATGATTTTTAATGAGGGACTTCAAGCATGTCGTTACGCATGCATGGATTACATCTCCAGTATATTACATATAGATTCATACACTATGATATTAAAAACGTTCCTTTCTTTTTTTTGTTGATTTTCGATATTGCGAGCTCGCTAGTTCATAGTCAAGCCTAGATGTAAGTAAGTATACGAGTCCGCTAATGGGTTTATACACGCATGCATGAACTATGTGGAGAGAAATATGACACATTCAGCCCTACAAAAAAAAAAAAAAAAAAAAAAAAAAAAAAAAAAAAAAAAAAAAAAAAAAAAAAAAAAAAAAAAAAAAAAA